ACACACCTGGCCTCAGCTGCATTCCATAGTTGAATAGAGAGATTCCATAACCCCTTTCTTCTATCCATGTCTCTAAATCAAGCATCTGCTGGACCAATCTATCAAGGTCTTCTGATTGCTGGAGCAGAAATATAGTATACTCATTCAATTTCATCTCCACTACTTTTCTAATTTTGATGTTTTCCTTCAGTGTGTAAGCTTGATATTCCTGGAACTTGCTATATAGACCAGGCTGGCCTTGTTCACAGAGAACTGCATATCTGTCTCCTATTTGATGAGAAGAAAAGTGTACTCCACCATGCCCAGCCACAAACTTTTCTTTAATTTCATTTCACTTCTCTTTTATTCCTTTTCACAAGCTGGAAGCCTAGCAGGGTAGAGTCTTGCTCTGAGTTCACAACTCCATTTATTTTATTTAGTATCAGGATTTTATTAAGTCTGTTTGTCTCCTTGAACACAGGCCTCCATTCTACTTAATGATGCTTGTTTCACTTCAAATTGTACATTTTGTAACATCTTTTGCTCATTTTGCTTCTTTCCATTATAGATCTGCATTAAAAAACCACTGGGAATATTCCAGATTAATATTTTTTATATTCTCCTCTTTACACACAACTAATCCAAAACTCTTTCATTTAGTCCCAGGCCAAATCTTTGGACAACTGCTAAAAACAGCCACCTTCTTCATGAAAATATCATAGGAATAGTCTCTATGCCACATAGTAATATTCTTCTTTTCTGAAACCTCTTGAACTAGGACCCCATGGTTCAAATCACCTTCATTCCCTCTTTCTTACATGTTGCAACTACATGGTCCATGATACCCTACTTAGTGTTCAACGGCTTTCCTAATACAAATTCAGAACATTCACATTTCTTGAAACATAAGCATGATCAGGCCTTTCATAGCAAGATTTCTGTTTCTTGTACTAAGTTCTGTATTAATTAGAGTTTTCTTGTTGGGAAGATATATCATGACCATAGCAACTCTTATAAAGGAAAACATTTAATTGTGAGTGACTTACAGTTTCAGAGGTTTAGTTCATTATCATCATGGCAGGAAATATGGGTTTATGTAGACAGACATGGTGCTGAAGTTCTATGTCTAGATATAAAGGCATCCAGAAGAGACACCAAACCATTAGACTTGGTTTGAGATATTAAGTCCTCCCCCAAGAGATAGATTTCCCCTATCAATGTCACACCTATTCCAACAAAACCCAACCTCCTAATAGTTGTTCTCCCTATTGACATCTGGAGGCCATTATTATGCAAAGATTATAGAAGCATAATTTGTATCAAAGACCCTGCTTAGAGCATGGATTACAATATAAAAACATTTCAGTTCCCATACTGAATGTTATCCTGTCACATATCTTGATACCATTCCTTCTGATGACATCACCTCTGTCTCTAGAGCAAAAAAAAATCAGAAAAAAATTTGTTTTGATATCTTAACTACTGTTCTACTTCTGTGAAGAGACACCATAACAAAGGCAACTCTTATAAAATAAAGCATTTAATTGAGGACTTAGTTAGAGTTTCCTGGAGTTAATTATGATCATCACAATGAGAAGAAGAAAAGCATGTCCCTGAAGTATTAGCTGAGAGACATAAATTCTGATATGCAGACAGTAGATAGGGAAAGAATCTGAGTCTGAGGTAGACTTTGGAAATTTCAAATTCACCGCCAGTGACACATCTCCAAAAATGCTACATCTCCTAATCTTTTCCAAGCAGTTCCATTTACTATGGACCAAGCATTCAAACTTAGGAGACTATGGGGGCTATTCTCTTTAAAACAACCACACATGCTGTTGGATGTCTTTGGTTCTCTAGGTTAGCAACTCACCCCTATTTTCACAAGTGCTATAAGTACTCCAATGTTACAGTGGCAGTAATTCCTGCATGACAATGTACCAATACCATTGAAATTCCTTTATAGAAAAGAAACAACTTGATAACTCTTCTTCATTATATCCTATTTTACAGAATCTTCACGTTTTTAATTGCTAATTGTGAAATTGAAAGCAATGCATTGTAAAACAGATTCATGTTTGGTTTTATTTCTATAAGTGCCTAAAGATAAATATTGCACATGCATTTTTACAAGAAGAATATAGACATGGTAGAGTTCTTTATTAGCCTACATGCTTCACATCCTCTATTCCCATGTGAAATTTATTTTGTTGTTATAGCCACACAATTGGAAATTGTGTGACCTTCAACAAACAGGTAGTTTAATTTTTCTAACTTAACATTACCTATCTTCACAATTTAAAAAAAATTGGATTTCTATTACAGAAAGCTGATGCAGACATTAAACAAGATAAAATATATGAACAGCTTTAAACATTGACTTCCAGAGAGTAAGCACTGGATGAAGGTTACCGACAGTCAGGGGATAAATATATCCCCAAGAGCAGTGTAAAGCTACCATCAGAATTTTAAATTAAACAGCCACATTCTTGCTCTGGTAGAATTTGCGCTATCCTGTTAAAATGATGTGGTTGAGAAGAAATTTATCTGGACATCTCTATTAGTTATCTGGAGACTGAACTCCCTACATTAATCTCTGCTTCTGAGTGGGTAACTAATAGCTAATGTGCTAATAACTAATATCTACTTTTGAGATAATCTGATTAAAAACTAAGAGCAAGTCTTTATGAGCATTTATTCTACCTCAGTGTAAGTGTCTGCTAGGTGTTGTCAGCTATAATTACGATGATCAAGATGTTTTTGTGTGATATTATTATGTCAGAAGAAAGACTTTCTACTCATTAATTAATAGGTATTTGCGTGCATTACCATTTTAATCTGAACATTCAAGTTTCAAGTTGCTGAGTTTGGTGAATTTTTTTTATTATTGTGAGACAGCTCTATTAGGAATCAAGAAAGTGATTTAAAAAACAGCAGAAATGGTTAAAATGGCCTGTTTCTACAGCTGGACCTCAATTGTAGGATTGCAGCAAGGAAAGCTGTACAGCTCAACATTATCACTCAAATCACTGTTCAGATAGTAATTTGGAGTTTCGCTCCTCAGACACCCAGGGAGCAGTGGGATGCATAGCAATTTGCAAATGCATGTATGTAGATGATCTTCAAAGTTTAAGATCTCAGCATCAATCCCTTACTACAATTGTCATTTTTTCTGCTTAGACTTATCAGTATCCAAACAAACAAACAAACAAACAAACAAACCAGGACAGCTGAGTTGACAAGATCAGTAGTCAACATGACCAAGATGTTGTTTCTCAGGTCATTGACTTAAACAGCCTATGCTGTAAGTCAAATTTTATTATCAAATTAAGTTAAGATTAGATCCTCATTTAGATCACATCACCAGGAAAACCTGATAAAGGAAATGTACTAGCATTAACCCTTTGATGTTTATATTAGTCCTGTTGCTTCATTAATTCATTAAAGCTATGGAGTCAGATGACCATACCTTAGCCACTGTTATATTTTTTTGAAGAGACCCCATGAACAAGTTACTTCTTGCAAAATAAACCATTCAATCAGGAGCTTGTTTATAATTTGGCAGACAGTAGTATACTATCATGATGGTAGCCCTCTGACAGGCAGTGAAACACTATCTGAGACCTTTATATCCTGATCTTTTTGCAGAAAGAGAGAGAGAGAGAGAGAGAGAGAGAGAGAGACAGAGAGACAGAGAGACAGAGAGAGACAGAGACAGAGACAGAGACACAGAGAGACAGAGAAAGAGACAGAGAAACAGAGAGAGACAGAGACAGAGAGACAGAGACAGAGACCAAGACAGGTTAGCTGGGCCTGGCATGGTGTTTGAAATCTCAAGGACCATTTCTAGTATCACAACCTCTTCAACAATGCCACACCTACTCCAACATTGACCTACCTCCTAATTCTTCCCTGACAGTTCACCAGCTAGTGACCAAGCATTGAAATATTTGAGCCTATGACAGTCATTCTTATTCAAACTGCCACAGCCACATTTATTATTTGGGCAGTGGACTGAGATGAACTCAGAAAATCTGACTTACTAACATATTCAGTAACTAATTTTAAATTACATGGGAGTAAAATATTTAGTGTAGAACATTGCATTCTCAGGTACACACATTTCTAGTGAGCTACATTATGTAGGGAGTGATGGATTTTCTTTTTTTTTTTTTTGTCTTAAAACACTCTTTTTTTTTTTAAATCTTTCTTCTCCAGAGCTGAGGACTGAACTCAGGGCCTTGAGCTTGCTAGGCAAGTGCTCTATCACTGATCTAAATCCCTAACTGGTTAAAGCACTCTTTGTTGGCTACGTATAAATGAAAGCCCCTAGAATCAGAGTCTATGCTGAATCAGGGCTAAGTCCAAAGTGAAAATCTATTTGAAACAATCTGTTAATCAGGGTTTCCTCAGAGAATTGAAGCTACTCTCCTGTTGCCAAAGTTTGTTACCAATTAATGTGTTTAAATTCTGCAATGTGGATAATTAACACAGGAACTTGGAGTGGGGAAAGAAGGAGAAGCAAACACTTTCTCAAGTCATTAATCGATGTACACATGATGAAAAATCTCTTTCCCTGTCTTTCTAACAAGACAGCAGCTTCCATTCATTTTACATAAGAAGGATGGCAATGTGCTCCTCAGACTGATAGAAAGGCTCTCAGGCTGGGTAATCTCGGCTATTTCCATATCCCTCTTAGGTACAAGGCTACTTGTAATTGTTTCAAGGGAGGCTGTTCAAGGGAACTCTATTCTTTGTATATGCACAGATAACTCTTCCCACAACCTTTACCCAGAAAGGGACCAATAATACAAGCTACTTATTGAGATCCCCAATGAGCCTTGAAATTCTAATATTCTTTTTCTCCTTTTAATTTTATTAATCCAGAATTCTTCCTGTCAAAAGGAAATGCAGGGTCAAAGAGTGGAGCAGAAACTGAAGGAAAGGCCATCCGGAGACTGCTCGACCTAGGCATCCATCCCATCTGCTGATACCAAGCTCAGACACTATTGCTGATGCCACGAAGTGCTTACTGACAGCAGCCCAGTATAGCTGCCCCTGAAAGGCTCTGCCAGAGCCCGACCAATACATATGCAGAGGTACACAGTCAAACATTGGATTGAGCATGTGGTCTCTAACGGGGAAGTCAGAGTAAGGTATGTAGGAGCTGAAGGGGTTTGCAACTTCATAGGATGAACAACAATATCAACCAACCAGACTTCCCAAAGCTAGAAAGGACTAAACAACCAACCAAAAGAATACACAGGCGGTACTAGTGGTTCTAGCTGGATATGTACCAGAGGATTGACTTATCTTGCATCACTAGGAGGGGAACCCCCTTGGTCCTGTGAAGGCTGATGTCCCAGGATAGAGGAACACTAAGCCTCTAAGGCAGCAATGGTTGGGCTGGTGGGAGAAAACCCTCATAGAGGCAGGGGAAGAGAGGAGGAGATATGGTCTCATGTAGGGGAAACTGGAAAAGGGGATACGAAACATTTGAAATGTAGATAAATAAAATAACCAATGAAAACTTAAAATTCATAAGACTTAAAAAATAATTTTCTTATACAACGTATCCCAATTACAGTCTTTCTTCCCTTTATGTCTCCCAGTTTAACCCATTTCCACCTCCCCTGCTATAAACTTAATTGGTAACTTCAGTGTCATGATGGTGGAGTAAGTGCATGACCATGTAGCACAGCTACTTTTCAACTTGACAGGGGCCATGGAGTTATTTCTGAGATTGCAAAAGGAACAGCTGGAAAGTATATGATTTAATAATAAATAAACAAACAAATGAATACTTTGAAAAATAAGAATGAATGAGTTAGGAAGATTAATGCACTTATGATTGAATGAAAAAGCTTAAAATTATTTTTAATTGAAATTATATTTAGGGAGGTAAGATTTTTATTTGTAGAACTACTACAAACCACCTAGGAATAAGAAAGAGGAAATTATGGTGAGTTTATTTCATTTTGGGGAGGAAACCAATTCAAATAAGAGAATTTCAGCTAACAACACCTCATCACTTGAAGAATATTCAGCCCTCTGTGCATTCATTTTGACTGATATTACTGCCTACTTTTTCATCAATAGAAGATGCTTCCTCCATGAGAATAATAGCATATATAGTTTCCTGGACAATACTATCTGCCATGTTATACAAATTTAACAAAAAAATTGGTGTTGTGATTGCAATTAAAAAAATGCTTTTGTCTTTTCATGGTACCTTGACACTAAAATTGACCTTGGTATCCTGTTTTGCCGGAAATATGTAAGTGGAAATCTGCTGGTCACAGTGTCACAGGAATCTGTTTTTATTTCTCTTATTTGATTAATTTGACAAACTTCAGTGGAGTTAATCTGTTACTGTTCTGTCTTTTTACCTTACGATTTCAACATGATGATGATGGGCTTGAAAATATAGGTTATACCTTGCTACAAAAGCAAGAAACAGATACCTTAATGAGAAAATCAGGAATTTCTTTTGTAGTATTTCCCATTTTGTTTTTGAAACATGCTATATTATCCAAGCATAGCAATATGTAGACATATTGTGTTACATTTCTAGGTGTAAAATGACTTCAAAGAAGCCATCAGTGGTCTTTACAGATTTCTCAATGATGATCCAGAAGATAAAATATAAATTAATATTTATTATTTTGCAAAACCCACATGTATCATATACTTGAAAACTCCTAAACAAACAAAACCACTAAGTGTATTTTGTATTATATCTCTTGTTTTCTATCTTTCCAGAGCCTTTGCCTCCTGGCTTTCTCTCTTGCTCACAATCTGATATGCCCAGAAAAAGAAAACAAATTAAGATGAACAGAAGCTACAAGAGAACATTTGACATTAGAATGTTACATGTGAATTGAATAGGAATAACTGGGCAGAACATCTGAGCTCTACTTTTGATATTCAGTGTAGTTGGGAAAAGACATTTTCTTAAGATTTACTGTGAGGGGTTTGAGGTCTTGCATTTAGAAGTATTTATGTTTTCCTGGTAAAATTAATGAAAACATCTTAACAGTGGTTTAACAAGATATTTTCAGAATTACATAGAAATTTTATAGGTATAGCTTAGTAAAATTAGGCTTACACATAAATCTTCCTTCTCAGTCATTTGAGTTAAAATTTTCTGTTAATGCAAATGCACACACATAGACATATGGACTATGATCAAAATAGTATTGGATACCTAAGTGTCCAGCAATAGGTGAAAAACAAACAAACAAAAAACAAACCAAAACAAAACCCCAAGTATAAAACTAAACAACAAAGCCATCTTGTACTTAATAGAGTTCCAAATAAACTCAGCAATTAGCAAAGTATATAATCTAAATGATCATAGTAACACCAGAGTAGAACAGTTGCTGCCACCAGTGTGGAAGGGTATTTAAAAAGTATCTGTCAAGAACACAGCATTTCTGTTAGACAAAATGAAACACTTCAAAAAATATTCCATGCAAGATGAGAACTATGGAGATAAACAACCTCATATTCTTAAAAATCCAGAAAAACAGGCATAAATGATAAGTAGGCGAGGAAGATACATATGAAGTGGTCTGAATTAAAGATTTAGTGGTATCAATGAATTTCAAGTCATCATTTGTATAACACAAATATAAAATGCTGTCAATTAAAAATATTTAATTTTAAAATCAAATATATAGGTGCATAAAGATGTTTGATCAAGTAACAATGCTTGTTTCCAAGTATGAAGGCCTGATTTGATTCCCAGAATATACATGATGGAAAGGAAGAGGGGACACCTGAAAGTTGTCTTCTGACTTCAACAAAGCATCTCCCATTGTACACAATAAATAAATGTAAAACTTTTTGATGTAAACAAATAAAGTTTGCTTTTAGGACTGTATGATCTTTGCCTGCTAAGGACACTACAACTTTGAAGAATCTAATTTGGAGCAACATAGTCTTACTTATACCAGGATGTTTTCTCCATCTTTTTTCTTTCTGCTTACTGTTTAGCTGGCACACTTCCCTCTAACCATACTTTAGTACAGCTTGGACTCTACATTATTTATTTTCATCTGACAATATATCCTGCAGTTTGTGAACTGTTTGTCTAATTGTTTCTCAAGCCGAAACATAAAGTGATTGAGTACCTGCTTCTGCTAAGTGACTGATTCAAAGAATAGAACTCTACACAACTCATGCAGCTTATGAAAAACAGATGATTATCTTGACTGACATATATATATATATATATATATATATATATATATATTTATAAAAATACACATACACATACTTATCCATATACATATACATATAAATACACATATATCTCTGATAGAATGACCTAAGCAGATATAGATGTAAGCATGTCTTCGAGGATGTTTCCAGAGGAACATAAGTGAGGAGGGAAGACCTACACTCAAGTGCAAACAGCACTACCCAAAGGGCTCTGGCTCCCAAGCTAGGTTAAAAGGAAATGCAAGTTGATAGTCATCATTTCTCTCTAAGTACAGTCTACAGATCCAATGAGACATGCTGTCTCACCCTCTTGCCACTCTTCTGTATCTGTGGTGATGGATTCCATCTCTTAATCCAGGAGCCAAAATCAGCCTTATGCACATTAAGTTGAGCTTGTCTGATATTCTGATACAGTGATGAGAAAAAAATTAATACAGAAAACCAGTACCAAGAAGTGAGACATTGTATCATGGCCCTTTGAAAATGGCTTGTGGGAGAATTCTGAAGGTGCTGTGAAATATGGGTTAGAGAAATCTCAGAGTTCTACAAACAGATCTTGCTGAATCAGCTTAGTGGGAGTTTGCAAGATCAGAATACCTAGAGAAAATCAGACAGCAGAGGTCTGGGTTGTAAGGTTTCAAAGAAAATCATGGATGCCATTGTCAACTGACTACAGACTTGATTACATTTTCACAAACAGTCTATTGTCATTCTTCTCATGGCCTGGGAACTTAAGTGAGAGTGAGTACAAAAGAAATAAACTGGTCAGTTTGTGGAGATGATTGCAAGACAAGACAACAATGGAATTGTGATGCTACTACTATGTAATCCTATTAGATATAATTGGAAAGAGAAGATAATATGAAAAAAAATGTCAGTTTAGTGAAGAGAGAATTGTTACTGAGTGTTAGTACACTAGAGAGGTGCAGAGAAAGCAGGTGCTGCTATTAGAAAGATTAATACAGTGAAGAAGCTTCACAGTTTTCACTAGGATGATATAAAAGGTACATTAAGGGCAACTCCACGCTTAGAAGAGTCTAGACTCTAAAAACATAAATTCACTTTAAATGTAAGTAATTTAGCTACAGATTCACCATCAACTCCTTATATTGTATCTAAAGGAAGAGGCAGAGACATCAAATGCCAATCATTCTCTCCTTTTACTTCAGTCTCAGATGGTATCTTCCACTTTTAGCTAAAAGTGTCTGGAAACACAGACACAGTCAGAGATGAAGGAGTCTATGCTACAAGTGTCTGTCAAGAGAATTGCTCTGTCAGGTTTTTGGTCAAAAATTACAAAGGTCAGAACAGCTCTTGTAAAGGGTGGACTGACTGTACATGGGGCAGGCTGGATAACTTCTCAAAATGGTCCACATTCACACTGGTTTATCAGGCATAGAAAAGTTAAGGGGCTGAAGGCTTACACTAAGGTCTCAAAACAGCTAATGCTAGGCAATATGAAATAAAGTTGAAGTATCAGCAAGGTGGCTCTGAGACATAGTTATATGAAGCTGTGAAATGGAAATGTAACTTTGAGGGTGTTGATAACACCATCAACATGAGGTATCTAGGATAACTGCAAGCATAGAATGAAACTAGCCCAAGAGAGAGGGGTGAGATGTGGTCATAATAGCAGACCTAAAGTACTGGGTTTTCCCAGGTGCATCAGAGTCCAGGTTTTGGCAGCAAGAGCCCAGAGTACTGGAGTGGAGGAATTTGTGGTTTGCTTGTCTGTCTTCCAGCCTTATTTTAGTCTACCTTTTCTTTGCAATGCCCTAATTCTTCCTGTGTATAGTGAGAATGTCTATTCTGTATGTTGGTATTGATAGTTAACAGCTTACGTCTTGGTTTTCAGGGACTCACAGTTAAGAAATCTGTGTGGCAGTGGGCTGTGAGAAGCAGCTGTGTACCTGGTCGAGCAAAAGTCTTGAATCCTGGACCCTTATCGGATGGTAGGTATTCGGCTCTCTCCCAGGCCCTGGTTCTTTACTTTTAGCTTTAGCCCTCCAGAGCCCTTCCCACAGAGAGGTCTATGGCCATCAGTCATGAGGAACAGTGCCTCAGGCTCTCCCACATGTAGATGAGTTATCTCCAAGCTCTCAGACCAAGCCAGTGGGTGTTATCTGCTGCCAGTGAATCTTTATATGAGGGCTCTATTCAGGAGAAATAAAGGTGTGTGCGAATCATCCTGGTGTCCATGAGTTTCTGCCACAAGAGCTGGAGAAGAGATCTGCTCTCCTGGAACCTGCCTGCAACAGCAAGCTGCCTTCTTGTCAGCTAGCCAACTCCTTATCAGCCCAGCCTGGGCCAGCTCAGAGCAGAGAGACAGGTGCAGCACCTGGGAGTGACCAGGAAGTTACAGTGGAGTCATGAGCAGAGGCAGCAGTGGAGGCAGGTGATCTCCCATCCTTGGTTGCAATATACTGCCTTGGCCCGGACTTTCCCTCCCCAGCACCAGAGTGGGCTGAAGATGGGACACCCTCTGAAACAAAGGACCTACAGCTGGTGACCAACATCTGGCCCTAACAGCAATACAGCTGCATGACCTGATGCTTCAGGAAGGTGGGCCCCATCTCTGGAAATGAACAACCTGTCCTTTTTCCTCCTGTGCACTTTCAGTCAGAGCCGTCTCATGGATTTAGATAAGCTAAAAGAACAACTGAAGCCTTCTGGACAGAGCTACTCTCTTGTGCTAACTGAAGGTCTCTCTGGCCTCTGTGTAAATCCAACAACTGTAACAAATGTTGCCAAAGACTCTCCATCTAGACTCTCTTTAAAACAAAAAGAAAAACTTGGTAATGCAGCAGCCACTTACAAACCACAGGGCAGCTGCTCGTACTTAAATCTTTGGGATGGCTTAGTGTTTTGGACCTATTTGAAATCCCACAAGCCAGTTGGCTAAGGGAACATTCCCATTGGACAAAGCTTCTCTCCTCTTTTCTGTCATGGGTAGCTCAACATCACATAAAAAAATAACCCTAGGCCAGGCAAATAGGGGCCATACTAAAATCCCATGGAATAAAAATAGCCAAGAAACAAGCCTCCTTGTTTTGGGAGGAAGTCCTTCAGATATCAATATGCATGGCTGAGGACAATATTTACAGTCCAGACTCATAGAGCAGAGTAGCTTCCCTCCTCAAAAACAGAAATAAAGGAAAAAAAAAACCTTCATGGCTTTTTGCCAATCTTACCTGCTATTCAGCTATGTATAGGGCCATCTAAAATAGGACAGACTGAGAACAACACAGCTTCTGGCCTCTATCAGTCAAATGAACCCAAAGATTAAGGTCCCAAAAATCACCCTATTTCAGACCTCACAGCCCTCACTCAACTAATAAGAGAAATAAAATCCATCTACCCATGCCTCCCACCTTATGCCTTGGAGGAAATGCCAAACAAAAAGTTTGCTCCTAATGCTTCTCCCTCCCCCATCCAAAGGCAAGGAACTATTAAAATACCAAAGGAGCTCTTGCCAGCCTCTCCCCTTACACCACCAAAGAGAGATAGATCCCTTCCCCCTTCTCCAAGCTGGTAAAGTGAAAGACCTTCATAATTCCTAGATAAAATCCTGCCAATTTCCATAGACCCTTACACTCAACCATCAACAACTCATCAGCTCTACAATTTCAGGGAGCTCTTGTGAAAAAACTAACCCTGCCTCCCATGCTACTCAGGAGTTTGATACAGAACTTGCAACCCAAACTGCTTGAGCATTCCCAGTTAATATCAACCCCACTTGAGCTAAATCACTTAATTGGTACTCACTCTAAGCCTCAGTCCTAAAAGAATTCAGGCAAGCAGTAAAGGAAGATGGCATTCACTTACTGTGGACAAAAATCTCTACTACAGATCCATATTGCCAACTTAAAAAAACCCCAAGACTGGAGAGATATTTGCTGTTCTGCTCTTCCTGTCTCAGTGTTTCTAGAGTGGGAAGCCTACTTTTGAGATGTATGTCTTCAACAAGTCAAACAAAACCAGGAGAGAAGCAAGGTTACCATTTGGGTTTTTAATGAACTCTTTGGCCAGGAAGATTTCTCTACTGGAGCACAGCAGGCATCTCATCCAGCAGGACACTATGAGCATGTTCACCTCTGTGCAATATAAGTTTAGGATAGGCTCACCCCACCCTCAGGGGTCACCAGACCCCACATATTCCCTGCTCTCTTTCCATCAGAAGCCCAGAGAATCCCTATCTGATTTTATTCTCAGAACTAAAATGAGCTTAGAAAGAAAAATCTCCAATCCCACAGCCAGGGACCTTCTTCTTAAACTCATTGTTTGGGAAGGCATGACTTCTGAGTCTAGACTAGCTTTCCAAGGTCTCTGGGAAGAGCATCATGATAGGTGGATTGTGGCAACTCAAGAAATAGGAGTTGAATCACACCAGGTTGCATCCATGGCTCAGGCATTTGCAGCAGCAGTGAAAACAGAAGGAATCTGCTTCAAATGTGGAGAGGCAAGACATTGGAAGACTGAATGCCCACAAAACTCCCCTCCTATAACAGATTCTAATCCCTCTAAGCCCATCTGTTCCCCCTACAGAAAAGGTTTCCACTGGATGAAGCACTGTACTGCTCCATAGCATAAGGATCGTAAGCCACTAGAGCCTTTAAACTTAAAATGGGGCAACCCTCAGCCTTGACAGTCAGAGGAACAACTACTTCCATAGAAGCCTAATGGGTGTCCAGCATCTCAGAAGGCTCCCACCCAAAGTTAACTATTAAAATATATGATAAACCATTAAAGTGTCTTATTGATACTCAGGAGCAGACAGAACAATTTTAAGACAGCAAGAGGTCCCACAAGGCTGGCTACAAATCCCTGGGCCTCATCTGCTAGGCATAGCGGGTACCTCTCACACATGCTTCATCAGACAGACCTATAGGTGGCAAGACTCAGATCAAGCTATTGGCCTCAAATGCTTCCTGGTGGCTTAAGTAGCCACCAATCTTTTAGGGAGAGATATCTTACAAGCCTTAGACATAGTTCCTACCACCCAACCAGAAAGAGACCTCATTAAGATAGAGGATATTACTTATGAAGAAAATAGTACCCAAGGAGACTCAAAAAACCTTCCTCCAAATCAACCCCTATTCTAGGGGCCACAATTAGATTTAATACTCCCTGCCTTTGATTGACTCTCTGGTGAAGCCATTGGGTTCCTCAGAGACCTCTATCAAGGGAGAAGCTTAGAGGTCTCAGATAACTGGTAGGTTTACAACTGTCTCTACAACATATCTGCCCCTCCTGCAGTCCCTGAAACATCCCTGTGTTTGCTATAAAAAAACAAAACAAAACAAAAAACAAAAACAAAAACAAAGAAAGAAAAAAAACAGCTAATGGGGATGGAGACTATTGCAAGATTTGAGGGCAATTAACAAAGCCATGCAAATATGAGACTCCCTGCAAAGAGGGCTACCCCACATCTCAGCCATTCCTGCCAATGTTCCCCTAATAGCAATAGACACAAAGGCTGCTTTTTTCTATCCCTCTTCATCCCAGGGACTGTCAATGCTTTACATTCTCAGTGCCTTTATTAACAACTCTGGCCTAGCTTCAAGAGGTGAATGGACCATTCCTCCAAAACGAATGACTGACAGTCCTACCATTTGTCAGGAGGTTGTAGCCACTGCATTAAAACCCTATTTAGACAAAGGACTCAACATCTATCATTACATGAATGATATCCTTGTATGGGGAGATGCTTCTACCCTCCCCTCCCAACTTAAGGACCAGCTAATACCTTCCTTACCTGCCCTAGGATTCAAAATAGTCCCTCACAAAATCCAATTTATTTCTCCTATTGCATGTTTAGTAACAGAGATCTCCCTTAATTCAATATGCCCCCATCAAACCCAACCTTTCTTTCCCTCAGAAATTAACTCTGGCCTCCCTCCAGACCTTTTTGGACAACCTAAATTGGCTTTGATCCTGGTTCCACCTTCCCACAAGCACCCTACAACCCCTCTTAACCACCTGAAAGGAGATAAAAAGTCCCTCCTCCCCAAGAACTCTGTCCCCAAAAACAGTCCAAGCCCTAAATTCTGTCAATTCAGCCCTAAAAGATATGGCTCTTGCTAGGTATCAACCAACCATACCTGTACATTTCCTTATCTTTAACTTCTCCCCTATGCTTATAGGAGCCCTTTGCCAGGCTTAGGGGGTACTAAAGTGGCTCTACACCCCAATGGGTGGTGCACACCGAATTTTAAATGAAGTAGATGCACTTGCGAACATGATTAAAAATGGCAGGGATAGAGCCCTACAAACCCTAAGAGAAGAACCTGACATTCTTGTCACCACCTTCTCCCTCTCAGACGTTGAGTGGCTGATCAAAAATCATGCCCACAGTGCTATCAGCTTAATAAGATTCCCAGGACAAATTGATAACCACTATCCTGATGAAAAGTGAGTCTCTACCCTCCCTCTGTTGTGATGGCTATCCCACAAATTATTCCCAAGGGAATCCATAACAGGAGCCCCCTCAACTTACCAATGGTGGGAATAGGGGAGCTACAGCAGTAATATACTTCTTCTCAGAGGATGAACCCCCTATCCTCTGATTCAAAGAGCATTCCCCAGCACTCCCCCTAATATAAAGAACTATATGCCATTTACCTTGCTCTAATAGAAGTCAAGAGCCCCCTTAATCTCTTTTCAGACAGTGTATATGCTGTCAATTTGATGCCCTGGTTGTCAAGATCATTTATCAAACTAGATGACAACCCACTCTCACATCTGCTCATATAGGTGTCCACCCTCCTACAGGTCAGAAGCTCCCTCATCTATATCCAGCACATCTGATCTCATAGTCCCCGGCCAGGTCCTATATCTGAGGGAAATGCACTAGCTGACCAAACCACCACAACAGGAGCATTCATAGCCTCCACTGAGCAAGCAGACCAATTTCATTCACAAACACACACACACACACACACACACACACACACACACACAAAGATAAAGAGGTTTCATGGTCACTTCCCTCACATCCCCCTTGATCACATCCAAAGGATAATAAAAACATGTGCCCATTGTGCATCCCTCATTACCACCCCGGATTTACAAACCATGGACACCAATCACCAAGGCCTCAAACCAAATGCCGTATGGCAAATTGATGTCAACCATGTTCCTGAATTTATTAGACAAATAAATATTTACTTTCTCACATTTTATATAGGCTACAGCCCAGATAGGTAAAAACTCAAAAAGGTTAATTTACCATATGCTCTCTACCTTTGCCATCATGGGCATTTCTCAACAGATAAAAACAGATAATGGTCCTGACTTTACCAGCTCTCAATTAAAAACCATTGCCCATCATACTGGAATTCCCCACAACCCTCAGGGCCAAGGAATAATAGAAAGAACACATCAGATCCTGAAAGTCCAACTCCTGAAAAAGCCAACCAATACTTATCCCCTTATTTGTACAATTAATAGTGGCCCTGACTACCCTAAACATATTTAACATCTTCAAAAACTCCAATCACCCTCCTGTTTCCCTTCATTGGCACACACCAAAATTACCTCTCCCTTTCCTAGTATGATGACAAGATACTTTGGATAGATTTGGAAAGGACAAGACCCCGTCCTTGAAATGAGGAGGGTTTCCACTTGTGTTTTCTCACAGGACCATCCCTAAGCCTATCTGGGTCCCTGCCAGAAATGTTTGACACCACCCCACCAACCAAGAAGATGGCCAGCCTCTCTCTGACAGATCAAGAACCAAGGAGGGGGAAGAGAAGACAGAGAGACACCATTCCCAGAGAACAGCAGGATCTACTAGAAGGACATCCATGACCTGGTAACAGCTCCCCAGGCCATGTGCCCTCCACAAGTGCCCCCTTTCCTCTATTCTCTTGGCTGATTTTCATCTTTCATGCTAACTAAGCTACCACCCAGCCTCTCCTTAGCCTTCCCAACACTTAGCAGTGGAGATTCTATGCTAGGGAAACCTACAAGTGACACCACAAAGTTATAGGAACCCAAGACTGCTCACTTGAAGGATGTCAAACCAGGATTGAGATTTCCCTATACCCAGAACCCATCTCCACTATCTCTAGCCCTTTTCTCTGCTTTCCATACTGAAACACAGGTGAATGTCTCCAGGAGGTCTCCACATATGGAGGTTGCAGATATTGGATCTGCAGGATGGAATCCACCAGTTGAGGTGGCACCATGCTCACCAACCTTAAAACTCATTTTCAGCTTTCCATCAGATATCCATGGAATGAACTTTGGCAAACCAGAGTCACGGGTAAACTTTACACCAATGGCTGTGCCAGATACCCCATAGCTGACCTACACATCTCCCATGAACTTGTCCCTGCCCCCAAATCAGCCTTTACCCATGCGAATATTTCCTAACAGGAAAACCAGTCTCATGAGCTACTCTCTCCTGGCCACAGAACATCCAATATGCAGTGGATCTCCTTAATGATCCACCCCAGTTCTTCCCAATGATTTTCTGTGCCTCTCTCTCCCAACCATTATTATTATTGTTATTATTATTATTATTATTATTGGTTTTTTGAGACAGGGTTTCTCTGTGTAGTCCTGGCTATCCTGGATCTCACTCTGTAGACCAGGCTGGACTTGAACTCAGAAATCCACCTTATCTGCCTCCCAAGTGCTGGGATTAAAGGTGTGTGTCACCACTGCTGGGCTCTCTCAACAATTATTAACAGCCATTCCCATTAACTTTTCCCTTTATAACCTCCATGGACCCTTGCCCATGAGGAAAGCACAGGGTATTCCTCTCTTTGATCTACTCCCACCCCTTTGCCTTGCAGAGCCCTCCTCAAAACCCGATCTCACATGTGCCTGTGACATTACCATTACCAAATCAGTATGTGTTAACACTTCTGCCCTCCTCTGGTGCAAAGGTATTACGGATGCCTGAATCAACCCTCATTTTCAAAATTCCTGTGCCCCTGTGTTTGTTGTCCCACAGGTTTATCTCTAAGAATCTGAACAACTAGCCTTGCTGATAGGAGGAAGCCAAAAGAAGAGAGAGATCTTCATCCCTCTGCTAATTGGACTAGGCCTTGCTGTTTTATTGGTGCTACTCGAAATACTGGAGCAGCCCTTGTCCGTACACAACACCTGGCCAGTGACTTCCTAGACAAGCTTGACCAGGTAATGGGCTCTACTACAGACAGCCTTGAATCTCTTCAATGCCAGATAACCTCTTTTGCAGGAGTTTCTCTCCAAAACCGGATGTTCCTGGACTTGTTGACTGCTGAACATGGAGGGACTTATGTTTGGCTGGAAGAGGAATGTTGTTTCTATGTCAATGAATATGGCCTGGTAGAACAAGATGTACAAATGCTCAAAGAGGTCCGGGGGAACCTACAGGCTTGCTATACTCCCAATACCCCTACCCCTTGGTACTCTAACCCCTTGATAGCCTGGATTCTTCCCCTGCTTGGCCGCATAGTAGCCATTGGAGCCTTGCTTCTCTTGGCACCCTACCTCTTTCAGCTTCTAAACCAACAGATAAGTAGCAATGCAAAGGTTACTACCAATCAGGTATTGGTTCAGTTTCAATCTGTTGGTAACATAGGAAACATTTATTCTGATGACACCTTTCCTTTATAAAAGAAAAGGGTGGAGTTGCGGCGTGATGAGTTTTGAGAAGCAGCTAGGAGCCTGGTTGAGCATAGGCCTCAAACCCTTGACCCTGATTTCATGGTAGGTGTTAGACTCTACTCCCAGGCCCTGGTTCTTTTCTTTTAACTTCATCCCTCAACAGCCCCTCCCACAGAGAGGTCTATTGCCATCAGTCATGAGGAACAGTGCCTCAGGCTCTCCCACATGTAGATGAGTTATCTCCAAACTCTCAGACCAAGCCAATGGGTGTTATCTGCTGTCAGACAGTAACTCACCCTGAAAATGTATATGAGGGCTCTATTCAGGAGAAGTAAAGGTGTGTGAGAATCATCCTGATGTCTGAGAGTTTCTGTCACAAGAGCTGTAACACTTGGGAAAAGATCTGCTCTCCTGGAACCTGCCTGCAACAGCAAGCTGCCTTCTTGCCAGCTATCTGGCTTATCAGCCCAGCCTGGGCCAGCTCAGAGCAGAGAGACAGGTGCAGCACCTGGGAGTGATCAGGCAGTGACAGTGGAGACATGAGCAGAGGCAGCAATGGAGGCAGGTGATCTCTCCTCCCTGCTTGCACTCTGCTGCCTTGGCCTGGACCCTGGCACTTCTCGAGGCTGAAGATTGTCGTGGGATGCCCTCCAGAATAGGGGAATCACAGAAATGGTCTTGAATATCAGAAGAAACTTTGGCATCCAACTTTTTAATAGTTAGAAGTTTTAAATATTGTGACACTTTCACATATGAACTAAAAGTAATTTAAGCTTATAAGATGTTTGTGAGCCTTTGATGACCAAGAATGGAACTTTATCTCTTAAAGTGATGTATCTGTGTCTTAAATGGACAAGGTGTAGCAGTGTGATGGTTAACTTGGATAGGATTTAGAATCACTTAGGAAACACATCACTGGCTGTGTCTGTGTTTCCAGAGACTTTTAGCTAAAAGTAGAAGGCACCATCTGAGGCTGAAGTAAAAGGAGAGGATGAGTGACATTTGGTCTCTCTGCCTCCTGATTTAGATACAATATAAGGAGCTGCTGGTCACTCTATCATTTTTTACCTCTTTGGTAAGAGTATACACTCCCCCCCCCACCAAAAAAATATCAGGAACCACAAGGAACTCTTCTTTCTCAAACTACTTATTTTTTCCAAAATAATGAGCTTTACGTTCATTTTAAGGATGATTCCACCTCAAGGCAATAATAGAGACAAGAACAAACAACAAAAGAAAACATCTGGCATCCTCCTGATACCTGCTTGTGTTCCTGTGGGCACATGAGCACCCACACATGCAGCACCCACAACTCACACAAACAGACAAATAAAACTGAAAATGAAAGCTCATTGTGAACACTCACATACAGTAACTTTGAAAAGAGAAAAATGGGGTTTGACTCAGAACAAAATTAAAAGTTGTCACTCTTGGAAAAGTGTTGCACTTTGAGGCGATATCTTTCAAATGTCAATTAAGTGTTGCAGTTAATATTTAAAATGGTGGGACCCAATCTGGCTTGTTCTTAAGCAGCATCCATGTTCCTGAGTAGACAAAGCCTGAGGCCAGGAGCAGTGGCTTGCTTCACCACAGCTCAGGCTGGCCAGAAGCACCAGCCCTGGCACCCACTAGACACCATCATGGTGGCTAGATCAGCCAATCCACCATGCTATCCACAACGCTTGGCTGAGCCCAGACCATTCTGACATCCATGTGGTTCCTGGTAAAAATGAAACTCTTAATATTCAAATATTGTCCAATGTTTATATATTTGGAAATGCTAAATTAATAAGATGCTCACACAATTAGAGTCGTTACCCAATACCTAACCTTAGATAAAATTTGTTACCCAGAACTCTTCTTTATGCACCCATAGTTCTCTATTGCTGCTCTATCTCTTCTCTCTCCTCCTAGGTCCTCCTCTACCTTCTCTTCCTTTCCTTCTATCTCTTCACTCCTCCCACATTAGCTCCACTGCAAACAATGTAGCATCAGCAGGAAAACATCCTGCTACAGTTAAGAAACAGGCTATACTGAGCCTTTACAGCCCAGTTTCAGCCAGTTATTTGATGCAGTATAAGGTGTAACAGAGGCTTTCACACAGAAACATACCCACTGTGAGGTCTCTTATGGGAAAGGCTGGGTAGTCTTCCCTGTAGTCAGCTTCTTGGGTCCAGCAAGAGGCCTCAGGAGTGTTCCAGTGGCTTATCAACTAAGGCCATGAAGTAACAGCATATTTTCCTGTTGTTTATGCTGAATCTTTACCTGTATACATTGGCATTTGAAAAATTAATTTTTTTCAGAAATGAATTTTTAGATTATGTTGAAAAGCAAAGCAAGTCAATAAAAGTTTTCCTCAGTAAATTGATAGGTGTTGGTAAGTCTGCCAATCCCCCCTTGATTCTCTTTACCTTTCTATATGTGTTTTAATGGGGAAAGATTTATGCACCCACACTGTTAACCTTGTTGATAATAGCAAAACAACACAGAGTTTTCAGAGGAGAAAGTCTATTTTGCCACCAAAGTTAGGAAGTATAATTTTTAGCACATAAGGACCCTTGGACATCATCTACATCACCAAGAGGTTGAGGTGCTTAGAACACAGAAAATTCTTAAAGCACACCCATTATTCAGTCCCTTGTTGAATGAGTTGCCCCCTAACAGAACACTCCAATTACATGAAATATTAATGTTACCTAAGTCTGACAGTCAGGCTTGAGAAATAAGGGCAGGGTCATTACTAATGAGTACTATCTCCTGTATGCAGGAGTTACTGACACAACAAAACTGAGCAATCAGAGTGCTAGTGACAGTTTGGATAGAGGATCCTAAAACTCAGAAGAGAAACACCACTGACATGCTGATGCTTGTCAGTTGAAATGTAGTCTGAATCTGCTGATTCAAAGATAGTGCCAGGAGGAAACTGAGAGTACTACTATCCTGAAAATAAAACACACTATAGCATCCTGTTTTAAGTAGAAGTGATCGTTAGTCTCAGAGAGGTATAGGAAGCTTCTTTAAATGGAGTTATTACTGAAACATGAAGATGAAGCTTTCTTTCCCTTAGGAAAAAGTTAATGAGGACCTGAG